TGATACCTTCGTTTCGAAGGGGTTTGGGGTGGGTTTGGAGGGTCCAAATACCTTCTGAGGAGGTACTTGGAGGTGTAGGGTTCTGGAGTGTTCACAAGAATCGCGAGATGTTGCAATTACCAAGCTGTTCAGAATCAGAATCAACCCTGCAAGCAAAGAGTGGTGTGACATCGTCCGCCACACGGCAGAGGAGGAACACATATTGATATTAATATATTACCAACACCACCCAAAGGGTGGTTTATAGACCCCCCTGAAGATGTATTTTCCATCTATTAACAACCCCCAAAGGGTGGTGCTGGTAGATATAGTATAGTTATATAATAAATATATATATATATACATTATATACACACCTGGACCCTCCAAAGTACCTTAGAAAATGGGACATGACCCCATAAAAACAGGTACTAGTACTTGTACCCATTTTCCGAGGTACGAACTGAGACTCCAGGTACACCGCCTGGGTCTTCGAACAACGCAATTTTGTTGCTAACATGTTTCAGTAAAAAGACACCGTGTACCTGGCGCTTCCAAGGGGTATCCAATGGAGTCCTACAAGTGGTGCAGGGCTCTCCATTGTGGCTCACATGGACGCCTCGAATCCGACTGGGATTGGGACGCCGGAACAGGAACGCCGCGCCTCAAAACACCGTTTCCAATTTTGATGTCTCACCTCGCTACCACAAGAGTTGCCCTTCTTTTGGAACAGGCACCGTGCTGCACTTGTTTCCCCCCAAAAGGCCATTGTTTGTGCTGATTTATACAAAACTACTCTTAACAGATGCAACTCAATAAACGATGGTTTCTCAACAATCCAACCGCCAGAGTCATGGCCATTTTGCTTCACTCACAATGGAACAATGTAAAACGTGCTTTTGTTTTGCTTTATGACAAGCTACATGATCGGCTTGTTGTACTTCAATGCCTCCTGCAGCTCGCAGTGGTCTGGATGTGTGAGGCCGCTGCACCACCGGTGACCGGCAGACAGCGACGAGGACTGCGACGACGTTCGTTGGATCGTTGGAACCAAAACACCACCCGAGAACCCCCGAACAATCCGGACAGATGGTTTTTTTTGGGCCAAATCAGCTGGGGGTGATTTGAAGATGTTTCCGGGTCAATGTCTATAGGTCAATGTTCCAGTCACATGGATGGTCTGGGAAGGGATCCCTGAACAACGATCCTTGCCATTTCTGCTAAGCTTCCGACCCCGAAAACATGGCGAAACCGATACCGCTGACATCCAGGAAGACGAATTCCAATCTCCCTCTTTCTTTTTTTAAACTGCATTGAAAGTGCATGGAAAGCTGTGTGCCTCACAGCAAGTCAACGTCCGTCTTTCACCGGTTGGACCCCTCACCATCCTCACCATCTCTCACCTCTGAGCAGTTTTTTTGGGGCAGGCCCTATTCACCCTCATCTCCAAGTCTCACTCCCAGTAAGGTAAGGATGTACTGTGCAGTCTATCCTCAACAATTCAGATTACTCTTGAAAACGAACCCTGGTCCCCAGGGTTAGAATGCTTTCCTCTACCAACCAGTGGTTTTGAGGTACCATGTTAATCTTCTGGGGAGTAAGCAGTGATCTCGATGAAGCGCAAAAAACGATCGTCGAATCAGCAGTAGCTAACGTCTGTAAGCGGTCGCCAACGTCTGTAGCGGTCAGGCTCATCAATGCTTCATCATTTTCCAGCCTGGTACCACAAGTGTTCATATGCCAAGAAACCACAGCTGAACTCTGAGGAGGGTTTGAAGAAACACATCAAGCGATGCTGGCTTTTCTTTGGAACCAACGGTGGCCCGACTATGCCGCAATGAAACCCGCTTCATCCCGGACGGGCTTGAAACATCTTGTTCTCCACACTTTTAACCTCTCCGTATACAGGTCAATCACCTCATGTTACTGGAGTTGGTGATACAAAAACACGTACTACTTAATAAGAGGTTTTAAAAAAATGCTAAAGGACCGTTTCTCTGCACTTGAAATCTCTAGAAAACCTCCCTTGGTCCTCGATGACTGTGGTGTTCACCGCACCATTGGCGTCCCGGATGGAGTCCATGTTGTCCAAGAGCAAGAGCTGAAAGTCCTCGGGCGGAGACCACGAAGTCTCGTCTATTGGCCGTCCCACGAAGCCGGGCATCTCCGGCAGATCAATAGAAACGTATGCATATCCTGCATTTCTATTTGTGACCTATGTGTGGTCATGGATCGTCAGGGTATGTATATGTGTACCAGCAGTCACGTGGAGGTAAGGGGTGCGATCCATGGAGGTGGCTGGGGTGCCTGAACGTCACATCCACTCACTTATCCTAATTAGGGACTAAACACCACCCAACGACATGTGACTGCTGGTACCTGGACCCTCCTTCAAGCGCTTCAAGTACCGAAAATGGGACGTCGTGACGTGTGACCCCCTCCCCCCCCAAACAAATAACAGGTACGACTAAGGAGTTCTCATAAAAGATAGTGTTTTCAAGACTTGTGGTGTTTTCGGTTCGGTGTTAACTTGTGTGTGTTAATCTGTGATGGAAGCCGCTATCAATTTTTGACTTCGCAGGATGTTGCTAGTCTCAAAAACGCTCATTCTGAGCCAGCGATCATGGCTAAATCTAATCACTGTCCATTGTAATCATGAACAAAGCCGGCATCCCGGGCTTTCACAAGGGACCACAAGGTAGTGCCATCAGGGGCGGTGAATTTTGCATAGGTTCCACCTGCACCTTTGGTGCCTGGGTTGCGGACAAACTTTTGAAGCTTCCATCCATCATCAAAGGCAGTATCTAGAACCAAAGTAGAGCTTGCCCGCTGTGTAGGTTTCCTCGGTTTCCCACGTCCTGTTGCCGTTGAAGGTTTTTTCCGAGGTGTTGGTGTTGTAGGAGCTGAAGCTGGTTTCCGTTTGACTTCGATGTCCTTTTCCTCCTCCGCCTCCTCCTGTGCCACTTCTGGATCACTGGTCCTTTCCTCCTCCTCTGGTTCTTCATGGTCCAAATTGGCATCGGTAGCAGTAGCATCAGCAATGTTTCCGCCATCATTTCCATCAGAAGTCTCCCTCTTCCTCGTTTTTCTAGCTGGAGACTTGGACACCGAAGGCCTCTTCATAATGGGTGTTGGTTCAGGCTCCTCCTTCACTTTAGCAGCAGGTCTCTTCAGCACAGGTGCTCCTGAGCATGGAGCTTGCAAGGTTAATCATGTTAATGCTTTTTTTTTGGGTGGGCTGTATTGGGGTGTATCCCATGAACTTGTAATGAGATTGTTTTTTTTCAGGGACAGGATTAATGAATATCGAATATCATTAGACAAAACAACAATTCCCACACTCTGCAAACAAAAGTCTTCCACTATCTCGCCCCCTGCCACGCCCTCGTTCCCGACCTTTTCCACGACCACGACCTCTCCCTGGAGGGGTAGTTTCTTGTGATTGTCCTCGCTGTGGTGTTGCCTCAAAAACATCCCCACCTCCACCCTGACTCTCATGGGTTGCCACAGCCCTTGGTGGTGAAGGCCCTGGTGCTTGTGTTCCCTGGGCATGGAGAGCAGCGCTGCGCAAAATATGATTCTGAATGTCAAAGGACATCAGCGGCGGAGTCCAGACTTAACCAACTTGCTTGAGCCATGTGTAAAAAATGAAACTTAAAAGTCAAATGGGGAGATCAGGCCATAAAAGTGTATGAAAGTTGATGACACCTTTGCGCCACGAGCGACTGCCAAATGAAAGAGTTGCACAACAATGCACCTACTCTTTTCCCAAAAAGAGCGACAAAAGTGGCACACCTATCAAATTGCTGAGAGCTCTTCTGCTACTTGTTCCAGCAGCTTCAGGGCTTTAGACAGCAACTGCTGCACATTAAAACTGTCAGAGCTACAAGTCACTTGAAGGTGTTTCACCTCTTGGATGGACTTGTCCAAAATGTCTTCAATGTGCTCTCGGCTGTTTCCAACCACATCTTTGAGTTCGCGAGTAGGCTGTGCAGGTCCAACAACATCTCGACCATGGTGAATCCATGTTGCGATCTCTGAGCCGTCGTAACCTCCGTTCATGGAAGCGTAGAAAGTCATGTTCCGAAGTACTGTGAGCAACTGGACCATGCTCAACAGAACATCCATGTTCTCGGGTGTCTCATTGAAGAGGGGCAAACACTGAAGCCTGATCAGCGTTTCTCTGAGGCATTCATGACCAAAATCGCCCTTCTCATTCAAGACAGACATGCCCAGGATAATCTCCAGGCCTTGCCACACCTTCAAGACCTCCTCGTAAGTCAGCGCCATTCTGAGAATCAAGGTAGTTTCCGACTGACTGAAACAAGGAATCTCAAATTGAGCCGGTTTGACACACAAAACAGAACAGGTACACACTGCTCTCAACTCTCACTATACAAATTATACAATAGAGTAGTTGAAGAGATGCTCCTCCTTGCCAAAGCTTTGCTGAGAAGAATTGAGTGTCTCGTTTCTGTTGTTTTCTTGCGCTGTGTTGCCTCATCAAAATGGCAAAGTTGTATAAAGCTACCTACCATTGGGATGATGCTAGCATCTTCTCACTCCCCTTGAAGCAAAGCCATAAAACCTACAAGGATACGTTCATTGAATGATCATCATAGATCAACTAGTATTTCGACTAGGATGACTAGGATTTCTTTCAGGACTGTGGCTTCCTATCAGAGAAGTCTAGCGCCCAATGAGCTCCATGCTATTGCCAAATCAGCATATGCCGCAGTGCACTCAGGTGAATACAGCTCAGACAGAAAATCCGAAATTGGATAAATGACAAACCTGTGATAAGCAATTCCTAGCCCTGTCAAACAACCGACCCTGAAGCCCTGAAGCACTGTTATGCAAACATGCTGAAGCCCGCCTCAAACAAACAGGTGTGGCAAGGTGCCGAGATTCATCAAACAAACCATTCTATGTCTATGTTCAAAAACTGTTCCAAAAGATTCTAATCATCCCCAACCAGGTAAACAAAATTAGTAAACAGACATTTCTAGCATGCCAACCCCCTATTTGATTTGTTGAGGCTGTCCGCGCTTGAGGCTAATCCTGGCCTTTGTAATTACGTATGGCCGCTGGACTTTAAAAGAGGCTCCAATCCTTTCATATCGGAACCTAAAAATCGACTGCAGTTGACCCATCTCATTGATTTTGCCCACCATCTTCGCAAAAATGTTCTTGCAGGTGACCTTCTCCTGAACCAAGCACTTGAATCGCATCTTGGATTTGTAGGTGATCTCAAAACCATCCATCCCGGTCTCAAGGCTGCTGTCCGCTTTCCTGGTCACATTCATGTAGGAGACCAGATGTTGAGTGAGATGCTTCTGCTGCTCCGCTAAGACAAGCATTTTGAAGAAGGTGATGACTGACACACCACTCCCATCTGCTTTGAAAGATGCCTCGTCGAGTTGGACCAGAGAGCGATCCCCTTCAGGGAGATGGAAGTCGATGCCTTCCTCTCCTTCTGCTGGCACATACTGCCCTGTCCCAAAGCCTCCGAGTTGTGAATGCTTTGGGATGGACCGATCTTGAGAAGACATCAGCCACAAAGACCCATCTTTTGCCAAAATAATCTCCACCTGAGGGATCTCCGAGGCAACCTTGTGCTCAACACCATGCGACGCTTCCAATTTTTCCAAGGATTCCATGGTGGTAGCTGTGGTAGCTGCTTCAGACTCTGTGTTCTCGGGTTGTGCCTCTACAAGTTGCTGGGATGCTTCACTTGGACCATCTGCTTGAAGCACATTTTCCCTTCCTATGAGGTCAAGATGAGCTTCACGAAGGGCGCAATATTCATCTGTGATGGTCCCTCCCTGGGCCATCCAGAAGCGGTGTTCGTCATTCTTGATGTTCATGCTGCTGCCAATCCTTTCCAGGACTTCGAACTGCACCGTGTCAAGTCGAGAAAGGCTTGCGGCAGCGCCTGGGATTGATGAGATTTCATCATTCGTCAAAGCTGGAATGTCGACATTGATTTTCTGCCCTGCGTGCTCCAGCTTACCTGCGATCCATGCATCGGTCACCTCTCTGGCCAATCGTGCAGCTCCAAATCCGTCCTTGTTTAGCCACCAAACGCTTTGGTAAAAGAGCAAGTCCGTGTGAAAGCCTCCCTTGAGCTCTTGCTTGGACTCCCTGAGACGGAAAGCCTTGGATTAAAACCAATGAATTTGATTCAATCCAAAATAAAATTCAAATTTTGGAGACAAAAAGGACCCAATGACACATACCGCAAAGAAAGCTCTGACTCTTGGTAATCATTGGTTTCTCACCCAACCATGTTTTCCACTATTTGAATCTATTTTTTTCTTCTCACTGAATTGTGCTTTCTTTCGTATTACCATAGCTCGGAGCTCTAGTTTAATGGGTTGGTTGCGCGATGCAATTTGCAGCTACTACTACAAGAACGCAGGAGGGTTCTTTGGGTGGTCATTGGGTGGCAAACTGAGAAGCCTGTAGTAGCCGATAGTGATGCATCCGAATCTTTTAGGCAAAGGGGTCTAATTATTATATATAAGGGTTCTTCTCATTTGGGTAAGTCAGGTCTGGAAAAGACAGAGAAGATGTCACGTGCTTGCTCTTGTTTTTTCAATTTGAGCATCTCTTCTCCAGAGCTGTCAGGGTCATCATGACGGTGAGATCTGACTTTGGCTGGCTCTGAACCATTATATAAACAAAACACATCAGCAGAGCAAAGCATGGCAATCTAAATGAACGTGTACCGGGCTGCGCTATGGCCTGATCAACTGACTGCCAAACAACATGCGGTTTCGTTCAAACATTTGATGGGGAGGGGTTTTCCTCATGCCAGCCCTCCTATCCAGACAAGGAACTGAAACTCCAAGATCCTCCACATAGGACGTGAGGTTGAGTACAATGACTGGTGACTTCTTCAAGCTGTAGCCGGTCATGGTGAGCATGGACTTGAGAATTGCCTCCCAACGCTGACACCCTTTTTGAGCGGATGTCGCTTCCGAACTTGGTCGAAGTCTTTCTGCAAAGCGCAGGTCGCTGTCTGGATCTAATGCTTCTGGCAGGATCAGGTCTTTGCTCAATGGTAGGATAATTGGGTCAGTGCCCAAAGGTCTGCCTGCACTACCAAACTCACTGTTGTTGATCCACGGGTTATCGCTTTCAGCCTCCTTGTTGACCACCAAGCGTCCAAAGGAGAACCGCCTACAGCATGATTCCGAGAACAAAACACCAAAACATTGTCGAAATATCGTCCTGCTTCTGTCAGCAAATGCTTGCTGAATTAAAATCATGAGAACTGTATATAATATAAATCATCCCAGAGTAAACCATCCAAAAGTTCTCACAGAATAGAGTTTATGATATTTCTAAGTGCTATATTGTGTTGTGTAATCATTTCACACAGGTTCCGCCTCCTGGCAGTCTGGGCATCTGCCGAGGCTTGGATCTCAAAAGGAACAAACCATCTGTTGTCACATGCTTGCCGCAACCCCCACAGAGTCTGTTGCAGATCAGACTCCTCATCCGCAAGGCCACGCTTTGAGGTCTTCTTCGGTGCTTCAGGCACCTCAATGACGCCGACATTGCGCGTAGGTTGGAGGTCATTCGCGAATTGCACGAGGGTGCATAATTCCTCCATGCGTTCCTTGGATTTGGCCAAAGGAACATTCAAATCCACGAAGGTCAAGATGTGGACATCAGATTCTTTGCAATTGCAAGTAGCTGCCTCACATGTCAGACACAAAAAGGTTTACATGAGAAAGGATGATGCTTTGGGCTTGGTGGAAATTTCAACACCACATCACACAAACATAATTGGACAATGATTGTAAGGTTCACAATAAAACGAGGTTTTATAAGAAGGGTTGAACGCTTGTCGCACCTTAATGTAAAAAGTCATCAGTATCCAGAATGAAACAAAACAATTGAATTGGAAGCAAGCAGCCACAAAACTCCTGTACTCGTTGACCTTCAGCTGCCCATGCTCCATCTTCTCAACAACATCACACCGAAGGAACTTCTCAAGGTAGCTCTTCACCACCCGTTCTCCGACCTGGGCTTGCTCAATCCTCCATGCCATTTGCTTCCTGTGCTTCAAAGCTTCAAGCTTTGCTGGAGCAGAAAGAATCATGCGCAAAACCTGCTGATCACGGTTAAGCGCAGCAGCAAAGTACTTCCACTTTGCATCCCTCAGTTCCAATCTCTGCTTCTGAGCTTCTAATGTCACAACTTCTTCGTGCTTCTTGACATCTTCCAGAGCTGACTGTTGCGCACACGGCAAGAAGGAAACTGCAAACACGGCTGGCCGCTGCTGAAGGATCTGTTCTAGCTCATGATCAGCTCCATTGCCCTTCATGAGTGCTTCCTCCAGGCTCGTGAAGTTGGGAAGGCGGGTAGAGAGGAAATCCCTCACCTGTGCCCAAAGGCACAGAACATTTCTGAGGCTCAACAGATCCGATTCAGACATTCTGTATTTGCGACGGTCTTGGGCATCTTCCACAATGGCTGTCGCTTTCTCGAAGTGCAACCGAATCCTGCGGAAGAGCATTGTCTGTGCATGAGACCACATGGGCAAAGTCCAGTCTAAAGGAATGGTGCTCTCACCCTCCAAAGGCGACAATGACGAAGTGGAGCACTGAAGATTGGAAATGGTGGACTTCATGAACAGGTGCTTCATGATAGACAAACTCTCCCCCCCAAGGTCCAAAGGCAAAGGCATTGTCTTTCAATGAGATCATGACCTCTTCACGTGCTGCGTCACAGGTCTGTTCCATCCAATGCTTTATTGCCCACAGCTTCTTGCTGTCAATCACCAAAGAGCCCGCACCAATCCGGTCCTACAGGGACATCAAACAAACTACAACAGTTGCACCATCTTGAAACTCAGTATTTTTTGACTAGTGTGAACAAATTGTTGACAACCTTCCTTGGAACCAGATCCACCATGAGCGGCGACTTCTGGACTCTTGTTGTAGCAGTCGATGGCATCTTGCACTGAAGTTGGTTGCCCCTGCTTGTTCATGTTGCGTAGGATTTCCGCCCACTCAAAGCTGGTGATTGCCATTTTCTTGGACTCGACATTCTGGCGAATGATGCGGCGGATTTGTTCAGACATCATGTCTGAGCTTTGGCTCTTACGCATGGTAGGCAGTTGCAGCAATGAGCGAGCCAGGGCAATCACACTGGGATGGCACAATGCCTCCTTGCTCTCATTGGAGCATCTGTAAACCAGCCCAACCCAGCACAGTGCTGCAGCAAGCCCGCGCATACCTCCATCGTCAAAGGTGAGCTCCCCAAGGCCTGGATTCAAACCCGCTTCATCTTCCATTTGAGTATCTTCATCCATTGCCATCCGAAGTCCCAGGATCTCGCCCTGCGGGTGAAACACACCACTAAGATATCCTGCTGACAAAAAGACATATATTAAATTAGAATGAAGCTCATTGTGGAAGCAGAAACTGAAATTTGTTTAACACATGTGCTCATTGTCATTGCCTAGACATCCAACTGGAAACTCTTGTCATGTCCTATAGTCAAACACACCTCAATCAATTCCACACAGCAAAAAAGCAAACAATTGTATTGTATAAGTTCTAAGATATTTTTACTGTTTGTGGAAATATCCCAGGCCAATAAAATTCAATGGCAGCGAGGTATTACAGTCATTGCCAGGGCGGCGAGGTATTCCGGTCATTCTGAGGGCGGCGAGGTATTCCCGTTCAAGGGGCGGCGAGGTATTCCGGTCATTCTAAGGGTGGCGAGGTATTCCCGTTCAAGGGGCGGCGAGGTATTCCGGTCATTCTAAGGGCGGCGAGGTATTCCCGTTCAAGGGGCGGCGAGGCATTCCTAGAAGAGCTCTCCACCCATGTCTTGTTTTAGAGTCGGTGAGGTATTCCGGATTCCCAGGCCGGCGAGGTATTCCTAGAAGAGCTCTCCACCCACATCTTGTTTCCTTTACTTTTAGAACTCCCAGGATCTCCACCCACATCTTGTTTACTCTTGTTCCCAAGCCAAGATTTCCCTTTCACTTGCCTGTTTGGCAAATACCTCTCCGCTTTTGATTCCTCACTGGATCTCTGAGAGCGGCGAGCTGTTCCTAGAATAGCTCTCCGCCCCTTAGTTTACTTTCCTTTACCAGCTATCCAGGACATACCCCAGTCTGTGACAGGCAGTACCACTGAGCTCTCCTCTTAGTAGTAGCCACATCAATGGGGCGGAGAGCTATTCCTAGAACAGCTCTCCACTTGTCCTTCCTGAGACAGACCCACAAAGCGGCGAGACATTCCCCTCACGATGTCTTGTAAACTTAAAACCCTTCCCCATGATGGCTGGCCTCTCTCCACCCCACCAGTGCAATGGACTTTGAGATGTCCATGACAGTTGGAAGGTCTGGAGGGCGCCAGAAAGAAGTATCTTCAAAGCTCCAGTTCAAAATGGCCGTGGTAGTGAAGGTTCCAGGTTGAGGCGGGTAGTCCTGGCAGGTGCCGGGGGATAAGACCTCAATCCAAAAAATGCATGGCAAGTTCCAACAGCTTTTTGGAAACATTAGGTGTTGGGGGCACTGGAAAACAAAGCCCGGCCTTCATCGCAAGAAACTTCTTCTGAAAGTCCTCCGTGGTCGCATCTCTGGCAATGATTCCCAAAGCCTTGCAAAAAGCCAAGCTATCTGCTAGGAGCCTGTCAGGTCGCCTGAAGCAGCGCTGAACTACCTCCAGGAAAGACCCTCCACATTCGACAGGCCAGGCCCGTTTCTGATCTTCAGGGAGACAATGGCGCATGGAGTGCAAGTCATTGATCCAATCCCGCAGCGCCACTCGAACAGGTGACACATCCGTCATGGTAGTAGGAGCCATGACGACCTCTTTGTTGTTTGAAGTGATGCGTCTGCGTTTGGCAACCATGACTGGCACAAACGAGTCTAAGTCACACGGCAAAGGTTTGCTCCGCTGCGAAGCAAAAGGTTGCAAGACAGCAAAACAAACGAAATCCGGGAAGGACACTGAATGAAATCCAAGTGGTTTGCCTTCGAATCTCTTGACTCAAGTCTTTTGAGATCACTTTGCAAACACCAGGTTGTTTTCTTTTTTCCCAGTCCAACGGGTGGCAATCCAAAACCCTGGACACCGCCTGCTATTGGCACAGGCTGGGAATGCGAAATCCAACTAAGCAAATTTGGATCCTCCTGGCTGTATGGCAAAACACTCAAGGCAATGACAACAAACCAACTAAATTCCCGGAATTCTTCCATCATTATTTCCTGGAGGCCTGGAGATGTTGTTTCTCCGTGCAATCACTTGCAAAATGCAATGCCAAATTTTCCATTATGAATGTATGTGAGACCTTCAACGCATCTGCCAGGGACACGGTGGGCGCCAGTGCGCTAGCAAAGTCACTAGAGCAGCGAAGTGGACTGGCACCGAAAACCTGGGAGGTGGGGAGGCCAACAAAAGCTATACTTTCTTTAACGGTTTTCTCATCGTCCTGACTCCAGTCCAAAAGGAATCAACAATAATTGTTGCTTGTCCTCATGCTCTAGCTGTTTAAGAGCATCACTGTTTAACATGCCCTTACGCTGCTAAGTTTCCTACGCATTGCCAACAAAGCTCCGCATTAAATTCGATGGAACCTCACTCATTTTGTAGCGCTCCCAATCATCACTTCCCACTCCTTGTAGCTTGGCTCTCTCCTGGAAGATGCATGAGGGAAAGAAAAAAGACAAAGCCCAAAGGCTGATGGAATGTACCACAACTACCCTGTCCGAAAAATCACAACACAAAGCAACAAACCAAGGGGTTCCCCCATTGCTCCTGGTCGGTGAGTTGTCGGAAATTAGCCGGCCCAGTGCATATGTATTTCCCACCAGGAATCAAGCATGTCGTGGTTGGCAAGCCCTTGATGTTCTTCCTGCTAAAATTCTGTCTCCCAAAGTTCTGGTCCTCAGTAGGCCCCAAAACAAACAGGGTAAAGGTACATGTGTTGTGCTTCTTTGGCTGTTGATATTGTACAGTGTTTCAATTAGTGTACTAAGTACTACATATTATTGAAGACATGTTTTGCAACGTTTTGCCAGACAACAAGAGCCGATGAGCATATGATTCAACACTGTGTTAATAGAAACAACAATGGCTAGGAAGTTAAGGGACGACCTGAATCACCAGGAGTTCTTCCACCGGGTTCACCCCCATCTCCATCATCTCTTCACAAGCACATGCCAAGATTGCAATCTCCCGTTCAGTGCAACCTTGAGCCATTGGTCGGAGTTGTCGAATCCTGGCATCCACCTTTGCCTGCAGCTGTTTCCGTATTTGTGTGTGTGTGTTTTATTGTATGTTGGGGAGTGCAGGATGTTCAAGATTAAAGCGAACACAAAGCCTCAAGAATGAGATCAAAGGGTTGTTAACAGAGTTTGGGTTGTTCTTGGAGATTGGGAAAAACAAAGAACACTGACTGAAAAGATCTTAGAATACGAAATCCTGCTTCCAGATATAAATATATATTACAGTATATATTATATATATTATATAATATTATTATACTATACATAGTAGAGATCCCTAAGACTAAGACCTCTCTGAGAGAAAAGAATCATATTTTCTACCGCCCTGTAATATATAAAAGATCCCCAAGACCCTCCTGGCCTTGCCAATCCGTTCGCTTTCCTCCTTGAAAGCATCGTGCCACTTGGGCACCGCTGTTGATCTATGAGCCCTAGTCTGTTTCTGTTCAGTTCCTGATGACTGCTTTGCAACAGTCGAGATGCACTTCTCAAGCGACAAGCGTTCACACTTGAACAACTCCAAGTCAGTCAACATGTCACTAGACACACTTGGCAGTGACTCATCCTTCAAAACACAGAGGACCCATGCTCTAGCACGTTGTTGGGGAAGCCCGAACTCCGCAGTGTTACACTCGCTTGCAGTCACAATGTAACCAAGGCGATCCAAGCGTTCCTTCAGATGTTCATACCTAAGTTCAACATGTCAACCCACAATGTCGTGGTAGGGGAAACATCCAACAGATTGAAACAACATGAACACAGAGAAAAGACTATGACTATGCACATCAAAGTTGCCCCGATTTCTCCCCCCCTTCCACTGCTCTTTTGTGGAACAAGCTGGAGACATTCTCAAGTAAGAGTAAGGAGGGTTTGTGCTTGGCTGCATAGTTGAAGACTGAATCAAACCCCGCACCAGACTGACATGATTTGTCCAACACCGATCCCGGTGTTGTAGTCAATGGGCTCACCGAAACGCATGGAAAGCCGCTGCAAAGAAGGTCCACCTGCAAGGGATCAGCATAGTGCCGAGATCTAGGAAAAGGGAGCAACACACAATTCAACCATGTTCACCCAAAGACCAAATCTTGCAAGACGATCTTTTTTAAAGATGTCACACACACACACATTGCATTGCGAGAAATCTCACCTTGGGCACTTTGTGGAAGCTACCATCAAAAGTGGAAGCCTTCGCATGTCCCATGTCATTCATGTCGTTGAAAAACACTTTAGCATGTGGAAATCGACTTCGCAGGTAGTCTTGCTTTCTCCGATCCTTCTCCACAACGAAGCTCAACTCCACCTGCAGGTATGAGTTCTAGCAAGAATATGGTTCATTGAGTGTTGCTGCTAGTTTTTGCTGTTTCTACACCGTTCACAATTGGTATGTGTCGTATTGTTTGGTTTTGGTTCTTTGAGGCTTTATGTCGTCCACAGACATGTGT